CTTTACTAGCTTTTTGGCTACTAAGATATTGTTTTAGCATATGAGAAATGTGGTTTTACTCGTATCTGAAATTTATCATCTTTTTATTATAGTTCATCATTGTGGACTTTGCAGTAACTTGCTTTAATGCTCTGACGCTGAGATTTAACTTTCTACCTATTCTTTTTGAGCTCTTCAGGCTAGTAACTTTTTTTTTTAAATACTCTTCAGGCTAGTAATTTGGTCATTCATTTCTCCATAAAGTAGCTACCTCGTCATGTGATTTTTTTTTTGGTTGTGAAGGAGGATTGATTTTACGAGTTCATCTCAAAAAAAAAAAAAGAAGATTGATTGTACGAGATTCACAAACTTTTTGTTTTTAGCAATGAAAAAGCATGGAGAATCCATAGAAGTGAGCTGAATATGATGTTTTCCCTTGGTCCTTGTGGAGTTGTGATGTTGTCATGTCACCTTTGAAATTCTATTGTTGCATCACCATTGGTGTTATTAGCAATTAGTTCTTGGAGCTTGAAGGACATATATAGTGTGTTCATCCATGTTAGCTGCTAAAATTAAACTACAGTAAATGTTCTGATCTCGGAAAATAGTAGGCACTGCCCCCATATTGTTACATGAGTTGCCTATAACTCTTTGTTCTAGTGAGTAAAGTGGATAAGATTATAGGCTTTATTGGCTACTGAAAAATAAATTTAAAATCAATAGTTTACCTGAACCAACAAGGATTATTTCCTAAGAAATCACGGTCAATGAGGCATTCTCAACCCAAGAAAGCTAAAATTAGATTTGGGATGATCCACTTGAACCCTTGACCATGTTAAATTAAGAAGTAAAAAATATTGAAAAACACCACAAGGTTGATCATTTCTTGATAAGTATACAAAGTACAAAAAAAAAACATAAGAGATAGCTCATCTCTAAAATAAAGTTCCTCTCAAATACATTGATCGATTTCCTCTATGAAGAAGAAATATTTATGGACAATTGAAAAGATAATCTAGTAAATGGAAAAGACATCTAATAAACCTAGGAAACTGAAAAGAAAATTTAGTAAATAGAAAAAGACATCAAATAAACCAAAGAAATTGAAAAGATATTCTTGTAAATAAAAAAAAAAGATATCGAACAAACCTAGGAAATTGAGAAGATATTTGGGGGGGAGGGAGCATCCGGTTCTGGCAGGATGAATGGCTGGGTGAGGGTAAATTGAAAGACAGATTTCCGAACATATATGCCATTGCTTGTGATAGAGAGATCTTGGTGGAGAAGGTGTATGAGAAAGGGGAAGGGGGAGAGGATGGAATGTGCAGGTTAAAAGAAATTTGAAGGATCGGGAGTTGGAAGAATATTGCAATTGGCTTCTCTGTTTGGCTGGCATATAGCTGATGGATAATAGGGACAGTAGAGTATGGAAACTGGATAAGGAAAAGGGCTTCTTGGTAAAGTCTTACTACAATCATTTATGTAAAAGAGAAAGAGGTGCTGAGCTGACAGCACCATACAAGCAGATTTGGAGATCAAAAGCTCCTCCTAGAATGTCTTTCTTTGTTTGGGAAGCTTCTAGAGAAAATATCCTGATTATTGATATACTAAGGACGAGAGACAACACTTTGGTAAATAGATGCTATTTGTGTAAAGCTAATGAGGAATCTTGCAATCATATTTTACTCAATTGTCTGGCTGTGTACAGTATTTGGGCCACTGTGTATGGGCTCATGGGAATGAATTGGGTTACAGTGGACACTGTTAGTAAGAAGCTGTGGGCTTGGACTGGTATGCAAAAGAAGAAAACATTTGTTCTTAGTTCCACTTACCATTTTTTGGGTAGTGTGGAAGGAAGGAAATGTAAGAGCTTTTGATAGTATTGAAACTGACTTTATAAAAATTAGATATAGATGGATTAACACTTTTGGTTTTATTTTGTTGGGTCATGACGTTAGAGATTGGGAAAATGTTGGCATGATCATATACCACTTAATTGACATGTAATTATTTTGTATACGGGTAGTACTCCTTTGGTACCTTTGTTCGTAATAATATATTTCTTTTTTATTTAAAAAAAAAAGTAAATTGAGAAGATATTCTAGGAAAAGATGTTTAATGGACCCATAGAAGTGAAATAATATATTCTAGAAGCAAAAATCCTTACAAACGTGCACAAGTCCTTGAATGGAGACAAAAACATAATTTTGGCCCAAAATAATAAAGTCCAAGCTTAAATGATTCAGCCTATATATAAAACTCAGGCCCAACTTGTTAATATAGGATGTGTTGACAAGTGTCTTCAACAGCTTCCATCCTGTATTTGAATAACATTGACGACTTGTGATTTGGCCAAACCCAATTTTTATGTCAATAGACCTACTTGAAGCTTGTTTAACCCAAGTCTCTTAAACAAACCCAATCAAAGCTTCTTTTAGTTTTTTTGCCGGTGCTCTTGTAATAGACCCACTTGAAATGTGCAATAGATCATTTGAAGTACTCGAGACAAGTTGTTCCTCTTGATAAATTACATCAGCAGTGGGACACTCATGCGGCATCAAGAGAGGTAGTGGAAAGGTGGGAAAGGTAACTTAACAAAATTATTCTCAAAGATCAATGTTGAGGGAGTTGGTGTAATTAACGTCAATGTCAGTTGAACATTTTGTTCTTGGGTTTAAACTTTGCATTTCTACTGCATATTTAGTTTTCTAAATATGATCAGGTTCTTGGAATGAATTCTTTTTTGTTCTTGCTTGACCATGTCAGAGCTTTCTGTAATACAGGTTGAGCGTACAAAGCTGAGACCAGTTGCGAGTGGTCTTTTGACACCATTTCAAGGGCTCTCTTTTCTTGGCTTTCAACTGCTTTTAGGTCTCGGGATTCTCCTTCAACTTAATAATTATAGGTTAGTGTTGGCTTTCACCGTACTTTTTGTGGGAGCTATTCTACATACTGATTTCTGAAGAATTATAGATTCTGACTGTTGTCTGAATAGGACCCTGCACAAACATTGTGTTTTGTTGCTTTTTATTGCAAATTAATCCATGTTGAGAATGAATAAAAGTTTTGCTTCTGTCAATAGAGTTGTAACTGCTACTTGTTTTTGGGTAAGTATCCATATTTCTACTGAAAGAAATAGTTCATCCACTTTATTTATTATTATAGGAATTAATCATTTAGCAAGATAGAAAACATTCTTAAGATTATATTTTGCAATTCTACTATCCCTTTTATCTCAAAAAATGTAGTAATAGATGGTAGACAGAGAGTATTTTATTGTTGGGTAAGTATACATAATGTTCTCCTTTGAAAATGGTTGTCCATTCAAGAGGAATTAATCAGTTGGCATATGTAGAAAAAAATTCCTAAATTATAGTATGCAATTTTACATTTCTTTTGTCTTGTGGTTGCTTAAAATATTTAAGAATAGATGGTAAACAACAATATTTTTTGCTGTTGGGTTAGAGTCGTTTTTCCCAGATGGAAGATATTCTGTTTTATTGGCCAAGACTGCTTCTTGTTGGACAAGTGTCATCAAACTTCAGCCTCGTGATAAAAGTTTTGTTGGACTTTCTTACCTTATCTTATTCAGTATACCAACAAGAATGTGTATTTCTACCAAATCTAGAAGGTTGCAAGAGCTAAAAATATTTCATTGAAGCAATTGAATTCTTTGTCATCATCTGGTAGTGGGGCATCTGCATGCACTTTTTTGCTCTTACTCTATGTTTGAACCCCTAATAGCATTATTTTCCGGTCAGTGCCTGTGCCCATAAGTTTCTATTTGGGGAAGTGTGAGGGAGTAGTTTGGGTCTAATCAAGACTTA